AGCACCCATTGTCCTCTTGAAAAGGTGTGTCTTACTAAATATAGGTCAGCAAAAGTGAAGAAAAAACACTTTTTAGCCTTATCTTATTTTCACTTTTTTGCACAGGCTCTTGAGATTTGTCAGCAGAGGAACTTTGTGGAGGAGACAGTCTTCCTTCTCAGTGAGCATTGATGATGGAAAGATTTGTTTGATAGAAATCAAGGATCTAATCTGTTTTTTTTTTACCCATACAGGCAGGATGGGAAACTGTAGACGAGCCCTCCAGATGATCATGGAGGAGTTAGAGGATGTGGACAAAGCTATAGAGTTTGCTAAAGAGCAGGACGACGCAGAGCTGTGGGAAGATCTCATCTCTTACTCTATAGACAAGCCACGTGAGAAATCACATCTCCTGCTCTCTAATTAGAGCTGCTCCAACTTGTTACCGTGTCAATCTATCATTTGATTTGTTACCTTTTTGATTTTATGACTGCTTCCAGCATTCATTACCGGGCTCCTTAATAACATTGGTACTCACGTGGATCCCATTCTGCTCATCAAACGCATAAAGGAGGGGATGGAGATCCCAAACCTCAGAGACTCACTGGTGAAAATTCTCCACGACTACAACCTGCAGGTTTGTCCAGATCTCACTGGAGGTCTTTAGTTTCACCTAATCTACTCTGCAAAAAGGCATCAGACTTATACGTTGCTTGGATCCAATGTATCCAATCCTTTGCAAAAGTCCAAAACTTTTGCAAAGGATTGGATTTTGAATCCTTTGTAAAAGTTTTAAAATATTACATAATACGAAAAAAAAGTAGTATGCCATGCACAGGAGTAAGTATGATCAAAAAGGAGAAGGGCGCTGAGAAAGAAATGTTTATGAACTGGTTGGGTGGAGGGGAATGGGAGCCAGTTGAAAAGGGGCATAGCTTTCCTGTCCCAGCTTACAAAACGCATTCCCACAGCATGATGCTGCCATTGCCTTGCTTCACTTTAGGACTGCTTTATTCAAGATGATGTGCAGCATTAAGTTTTCTCGTCTTGTTGCATTTTGTATGTAAACCAAAGCCTATCATTTTGATCGAATCTGATGGGAACAAATTCTATAATGTTTGTTCTGTTCCTTAAACTGTAATGTTTTTCTAAGGAACAGCTAGAAAAAATTATAAATAATTAGATCCACTATATTTTTATCTACATTATTGACTAATTATGGTGATTTTTAAAGGTAACAGATTGTTTTAACGGAGTAAAAGGGGATGAACGACCATTCTTTAATTTCATCTTAGCCTGTAAGAAAATGACAATAAATATTTAAATATTTCGTTTTAAAAATATTAATATTTAGAAAAAGGAGTTTGAATATTCTTACAAAGGTCTATAATCCCAACCGTCCTGTGTATATATGTGTATATAAAACGATTAGAAATTTAAATTAAAAGAGAAACTCTTAAGCTTGCTTTAAGTACCCTTGCTGTTAATTTATTCCGATTGATCCAGAACAGAAACATCATGAAGGGTTTTTCTGAAAGCATTTTTCTAAACCAGTTTTCCTCTTTTGAAGATTCTCCTCCGAGAAGGATGCAAAAAGATCCTTGTAGCCGACTCGCTCTCTTTGCTCCAGAAGATGCATCGAACCCAAACAAGAGCAGTCAGAGTGGATGGTCAGTCTGTTTACAGATTAAGTTGATTTAATGGCTGTTTAAGCAGATTCCTAAATTTGCTGCTTCTGTTTTGTTCTTTCAGAGGGGAACATCTGTGAGTCGTGTCACAGCTCAATATTACCCTCAGGTAACTGGACGTAGCTGCATCCAGCTATGCTGTTGGGTTATTTTGTCGTTGCTGTTTGCCTAATCAGGCTCGTGTTTGTGTTTCAGATATGGCGCAGTCGTTTAGTGTTGTGGTGTTTCACTGCAGACATATGTTCCACAAGGAGTGTTTACCGTCTTCTGGCCCTGTAGGTGGATCCTCTTGGTTTGCATTTTCTAATTTGACACTTTTTTTCTGCATCACTTTATCTGTAACTTTCCTTTGTTCTCAGATTCCTGGGACGCAGTTCTGTAACATCTGCAGTGCAAAAAAGCGAAGACCTGGAAGTGGAATACTGGAGATGAAAAAGTAACAGTTTAAGGCGCTGGCGACTATTGATGCTTCTTTCCTCTCGGATGCATAGATCAATAAAAACCCTTTTCCTTAGTCACTCATCTGCAAACTTACAGATATGCTGAACATTTCCTCTGGACCTTTTCTGAGTATTTAAGTTTGACAACTGTAAAACGCTGCACTTTGTTCTGCTTTCTATTAATGTTATGTGCTGAGAAAGAATAAAATCATTTAAGCTCTGATTTCAGTTTGTCTCTGGTTTGCTCTGCAGTTAAACAAATCCCAAGCAGGACTAAATTAATACAAACCAAAGCATTTGAGCTGTAGAGCAGCGCTTCACTGTCGAGGAAAATTTAACTTTTTTTAAAGGTAATGGCAAAGCACTATAAAGCGATGTTTTATAATATCTAAAATAAAACAAGCATGCTTGTTTTTTTATGCTTCACTGGTTTAGTTTAAAATGTAAATTTACACTGCATTTTTACAGGTTTCAGCATCTCCAGTCAGGATTTCCTCAGTGATTAAAAAAACAGAGGGGGGTAGTAAATAATTTTTTCACTCAGTGATATTTGCTTGAGTGACCTTTTCGACGTGATTGATTGGTTGACCCTATTGATCTCACAGTGGAAAAATGTACTCGTTACATCAGCTCTATAGTCAAAAAGAAGAAGGTGCATGGGGTATATACAGTCTGTCCACATATTAAAAATAATGTCACTGAGGTATTTTACATTGTTCTAATATGTATTAGTTACCAATTGTGAGGAGTGGCTTCTTAGGTTTATGCCAAAAAAATATTTTGTAAAAGTGTTACTTTTGCATGGATTTGTGTAATTAGTTTCTCAGTACTTGAATAACTTTTTTTAACCAAATAATTTCTCTCACTTGAGAATCTGCAGGATACATTGACATGACTAAGATATAAAAAAAACTGTCATTTTAATGTTCTTATATCAATTGGTATAAAGAAATAGTGAACTTATGACAAAGTGTATGTACAACGTTTAGATTATTTATTGACTTTTAATCATTTCATTTTTCCCCCTGCGAATTACTTTCTCAAATCAATCCTTTTAATGTCATGTTACCAAGTAAATGAACATCATAAACACAGAGCTCCCCCTATTGATGTTATCTCTCTATTTTCCACAAAATAAATTCAACCTTTTTTTATTGAAAAAAAAATTATACAGATCTTACAAACAATTATACAGAAGAACAATGGAAAGGTGGTCTAAAATAAAATACATCAGAAAAACAAAATAAATAATTCTTTAAAAAAAAATCTCTCAAAAATATCCTTGGAAGTATTGCTCTGTTTCCAATGAATTAAAGTAAGGGATTTTATATACTTCGTGCAAAATAAATTCAACTTTCGGAGCAGGGACAGTACGTGATTACGTCACATCCGCCGTCTCTCTCCGGAAGTACAGTTAATTTTTATTCACGGGGAGAAAAAAAACAGCTGTTGTTGAGAAAGAAAACATCAAAGTGAGTTTATCAGGTACGTGTTGCGGTTTTACCTTCTTGGTAATGTCGGTAAGCCTCAGTGGGGATTGTGATCAGAGTGTGGAGCAGCTGTTTTGCTCTTTGTAAGTCTCGCTGCGCTTATTTTTCTGCGAGTTGGCAGCGGCTAGCGTTAGCTCCCTGCTCCTCTCTGCTATCTATCAGCTAACTGTCCATTTCTGACTGCATGCTCTCCACACAGAGAAGTGCCCCATCTATCTGTTAGATAATCGCTCAGATAATTTGCTCAAATCAGGGAATAAGCGAATTAAAGTTGATCGTACGTCGTGTTACTTGCTAAGCAGCTACTTTAATTCTGATTCATCTGTTTATGTCCACCATTAGCCTGGCTTGTTGCATGTATGATAAACACCTACTGCATCAGGTCAGGACCTGCAGACCTATGATTTGAGGCATGCTTTGGTACCAGTATTTGCATGTTTTTCTTTAGCACTATTTAATTTTAAATTATGTGAAAGTAGATGACTCCAAGGCTTTGTTTTATTATTAAGTCCTAAGTGCAAGCTGAATTAGATGCACTCTAACAATTCAACCACAACAGTTTCTTTAATGTAATCCCAATCCAAGCTGTTCTGATTTAAATCCTGACTTTTATTAACACATTCTAAAACCTTTATTCATTTATTCTTTTAAATTTGCCCTATTGCTTTGGTCAATGCCCTTCAAAATATTATGAAGACAATATCTAAGTTTACAAAGTGATGGCTAGGTTTTGTTCTTTGAGATTTCATGTTGTAGGAGATAAAGTTTCCAACAAACATGCCTAAACATCCAGGTACTGTAGCATCATAGCAGAAGGAGATTTTCATCAAACTTTTTTTGGATTTGAAAAATCTTTGTGCAAAATGCACAAAGCCAAACGTGAACTGGGCCTGTTTTGTTCATGTTTTTTTTTTTTTTTTTTTTTATTGTTTGTTTTCTTTGCAGTGTTTTCTCTGTAAACCAGCCCATTGATGCATTTTTTTTGCTCAGATTTATTTATTGTCATATCAGGTTACTTGTGCTGGTGAAGATTCTCAGTCATCCAGGTCATAGTCGTTCCAAAAAGGGGGAAAAAAAAAAAAAACAATCCACTGAACTTTGTTTACAACTTTGAAGACGTTTCGCTTCCCATCCAGGAACCTTTTTCAATTTAAAATGTCAGAATTAGCATTGAGTTAAATTCAACACTAATTAGATTGTTTTGGTTTTTTTTATTTTCCTTTTTTTTTTTTTTCTTTTTTTTTTTTTTTTTTTTTTACTTATTTGGAATAGGGTTACTTGATGTGACTGAGGTCTGCTGTGTTTTATATGTTCCGGGTTCTTCAGTGAGTCATTGATGCTCACTATTCTTTGTCTATTCATGGGACATTAATTATGGGTAATGGATCATTATGTTTTTTTAGCACCCGATCCTGTCCACAGTTCAGTGCCTGAAAGTTGACTCTTATCTTGGAATGTGAAACTGTCCCACAGGATGATGCTGTCATCACCATGTCTAAAAGGTGATGATGTATTCCTCAGTTCAGCACCTCACCTGGTGACACACACAAATACTTCTTACCTTTGTGGCTTCATTGTAGGGCTGGGTATTGATTTAAAGTTTCAGGATGAATTTGATTGTGTATTTGACTGTCTAGTTAACACCTGTCCAATCAGATTCAGAAATACTTTAATAATCCCAGGGCAAATTTACTTTCATTACATGTCTCCATCTGTAATAGAATGACAATAGGACCAGTTTGATATAACACAATTTAACACAATATATATAATTAGGGGGTCCCCACTCCATCTCACCATCACTTTAGGGTTCCTTGGCCTGGAAAACGTTGCAGACCTCTGTTCTAGAACATTTAAAACCCATCTTACTATAAAGATTATCACAGGATCTTCAGTTGATTGAAATAAATTTACAATGAATAGATGGAAATAAAGCAGGTTATTGCTCAGTTTAAATGAACAAACTTAAATTAAAGTGAGGTCAGGGCCATGAACCCGAACGACTAAATTTAATACTGCTATTTCTGAAAGGGTGAACAGCTAAACATCCAGCTAGAACTGTAATTTAAGTAGATAATCAACGACATTCAATCTCCTAATAATTGTTTTTAATCTTCAGCACTGTACCTTTTTGTGTGTGTGTTTCAGTCCAAGCCTGATGATGCTTTAATATCTTAACAGAATGCCGGCCTCAAAGAGAGAATCGTCTCCTCATGAACCACAGTCGAAGATGAGAAAGGTGGAAGAGGATGGCGAAGAATTACAATCAAAAACTGGACCAACTACCAACGCTCTACAGACAAGAGTAGAGCAAGAAAAGACAGGAACCCCACGGGCTAAGAAAAAAAGGTCTTCCTCTGTTGAAGATGGAAATGAATTATTGAAACCGAGTTCTCCTTCTAGTGATTCCATTGCGACCCCCTCAGACCCCCCTCTTAAAAAAGCCAAGCTTCTGAAAGCCACAAGTGCCTCCTGCGGAGAAGTACTCTCCCAAAGAGAAAACTCCAAAGGTTCCCTGAAGCGGAGCACCTCCACAGAGTCTGATGAGGAGCCGAGCAGCGACAGGAGTAAGGTAGACTTCTTCGGGGAGCGGGAGGATGTTGACAAGACCTGTTGCATCAAAAAATATTCCAACAAAGCTAAGCGTACAGTAGAGGAAGGTTCTTTTGATCCACCGGACACTAGCCACGATTCATCATCTCCACCACCAGATTCTGTACAGATTGAGCACAACTATGGGAGATACTCCGAATCTGAATCTTCTAAAAGCCTGTTTGACACCGATGAGAAAAAAGAAACTTCAGTTGAAGCACTTCAGAGAGCATCGACAGATGTCTTGACATCTGAAACAGGCAGGTTGGACTCAACAACTGAAGAAATGCAGCAGTTGGAATTAAAACACCAACATCATGAAACCTCTTTGACGGAAACAGTAGGTCGTGCTGTCTCTGAGGATGAGGAAAAGAGAGATAAAGTTCGGTCTGCTGAAATCCCAAAGGGCCAAAATAATGAAACGCTATCTTCATCAGAGGAAACATTAGGTTCATTTCCCGGAGATGTGATTTCAAGTTCTGGACATGAAAATCTTGAACCAAGAAGGACTGATTCATCACACCGATTAGAAGATCACACTCACCATACCCAAACATCAGTGGGGTTAAAAGAGTCAGAAACAAGATCACTCATTGAAACCAATTTCTCGTCATCACAAGTGGAAATCTGTAGTCCAGCAGCTGAGGAAATGGTAACAAAAGCAGAATCCTTTGCTGTTTCAGAGACTCGTTTAAAAAAGGAGTCAAATCCTGTAGCGAATAAACACAATTTTCCAGTAAGAGATGATTGTTTGGGGGAGGACTTAAACAAAACGAATGAAAACTCTGAAGAAAAACTCAAAGAAAGCAGTGGAGAAAAAATTGACATCCAGTATCCCCAAAGTGTTACTGATTCTGACATTTCTGTAAAAGAACAACAGAATCATAGCTTTGTTATCCAAGGGACTCAGTCTGATATTCAGAATACTTTAGTTAAAAATGAAACAGAGGAGCTTTCTGAAAATATAGTTCCAGCAACTCAAATAACATCTGGAGAGGATATTCATAGTCAGGAGAATCACACTGTTCAAGAAAGCATGTTTCAAATGGATTCTTCAAACAGAGACAAAAATAACATTACGATCCTTCATCAAGCTGTTGTACCAAAGATCAAAGATGAAGAGATTTTACTGGCTTCAAATCCAAGTGCTACAATTGTTTCACAAATCCAGGATTCTACTGCCAACCTGTCCACAAACTTTCAAAGTGAGGAAAATGTTAAAATCGTGGCAAACAAAGAGACTTTCAGTGAAGCCGAAGGCGGAAGTAAAACAGAAATACAGATTGGAATTACATCTGAGATCTTAAATCCTGATCCTCCAGAGGAAATGCAAAAGCTGGAGTTACATGTCAGGGAATCCCCCACACTTGTCTCTATTCAAATCCATCATCATGTAAAGGATGGTGATTCTGAAAATATGGAAACTCCTGGAGGTGGTGAAAAAAATCAGGGTCAAAGTGGGATGGAAACACGGCCTGTTGCAACATCTGAACTTTTCAAACAGGAATCAGACGTTCAGCAGGACAGTGAATGTACCACAGCAGTACTTGATGAAAGTGGAAAGGATTCAAACTCAACAAAATCTGCAGAGGGTTTTTCTGCAATGGCTGAGAATCTACCAGAAGTGGATATACAGACCTTAAATGTATCTAAACAGGGCTCTGACAGGACTCTGATGGAAGAATCACACAGCCCAATCAAACATTTGGTTAGTGAACCCTCCACAGACACTCCTGATGAAGCTCAGAGAGATCTGGAGAAAGCAAATTGCGCAGGTGGGACTCTGATTGAAGTCCTAGGAAAAAATACAGCTATGTCAGAGCCTGAGTTAGCCAAGGCTACTACAGAAGAAACTGAACCACAGCTGTCTGATAAACTGACCAGTGATAGACTCAATGAAGCAAAGACTACAAACGATCCTGCTCCAACTCAAATACAAGATGTAGAAGCTGCGGGCTCCATGGAAGAGATCTCTAATATTGCAAGTGTTGAAGAAAGGCAAAGGCAGTTGTTTATTGAACCCATAACTGAGATAGGTGATGAAGCTTACAGAGATCAGGGTGGCCTGGGTGCTGATCAGACTCAAATCAATGTTAATACATTCTCAGAAACACCAGAGGAGGTGCCTAAGATTGCTGCTAAACAAGAAATGCAAACCCAGTCTGTCAGGGAACGTACAACCGACATGCCTGAAGAAATTCACAAAGATCACCATGGTCAAACGGGGACCATTGAGACTCACATCCAAGTTGATGCCTCATCAGAAAAGACCCCATTTACTGAAGAAATGCAAACCCAACAGGTCACGGGACCTATCAATCAGGAAAAAGATAATGTGAATCTGGAAAATGCTAATTGTAGGATTAGTGTAGACCTTGCTGCTGCTGAGAGTCACAGAACAGACAACACGGAGGTTTTAGCATCATCCCAGACAGGTTTTACTTTTACTTCTATTGAAATGGAAACCCAGATGGTGAATGAAACACCTACGGACATACCTAAGGAAGCAATGGAGGAGCTAAGTAACATGAGTGGTGCATCTCAGGGTCAAATGGAAGATGGTTTAGAAGCTTCAGGCTCCAAAGATGGGGTCTGCAATGTAAGTGTTGCAGAAATGGAAAACCAGTTGTTTACTGAGATACCTATAGAAGCTTATAGAGATCAGGGTGGTCCATGTGTCACTCAGGCTCAAATCGCTGTTAATGAGCTCTCTTTTACAAAGTCTGAGGAAGTGTCTAATATTGCTCCTATAGAAGAAATTCAAAACCAGTCAGTTAGGGAAAGTTTCATAGAAATACCTGCAAAAAGTCCCAAAGATCAGGATGGTCCCAATGGGACTGCTAAGATGCAAAGCCAAGTTGATTCCCCATCTGAGGAGACTGTGCTTTTTAAAGAAATGCAAGCCCATCTGATCAGTGAGCCTACTATTGATGACAAAGCTCATGAAAATCTGAAAAATGCTCATTGTGGGATCAGTATACATGCTGCTTCTGAGAGTGACAGAGAAGGCGGTACAGAAGCTTTAGCAACATCCCATACCGTCTCTACTGTTATAGAAGAAATGGAAACACAAGCAGTGAATGAACAACTTATAGAAGCACCTATTGAAGCAGAGAAAAGCCTGGAGACTGAGCAATATGCAGCTCAGACTGAAGTTGAGGTCACATCTGAAAAAATCCCTAACGATGCACGTGTAGAAGAAACACAAACCCAGGATAAACCAAACATTGATGTATCCAATGAAATTCATAATCATTTGGGAAATGCAGATTCCAGAAGCAGTGAAAATGTGGCATGTGTTTCTACTCAGGCTAAATTAGAGGCTGCTGAAGAAATTGTTGCCGCACCAAATGAGGGTTCTACAGATGTACATATAGAAGGAATTCAAAGACAACTAGTAAGTGAAACTACCAGTGACATCAGCTACATGGTACATGAAGATGTGGATACAAACTTTGCTGCTCAGACTCTAGTTGAAGTTCAGGCTATGTCAAAGAAAGTAACCAACGTTTCACCTGTTGAAGAAATGCAAACTCAGCTGGTCAGTAAATGCATCATTAGCATTCAAGATGAAGCTAATGAAAATCTGGAAAATCCAAATTCTGCAGCTGAAGAGGATGTTCAATGTGGTTCTACTGCTGGTCAGAGTCGAATACAACCTGATGGGGAAGTTTTATGCACATCAGTGAATATCTCTATATCATCTTCTGTAGAAGAAATGCAAACACAGCCGGTCTTTGAAACCACCACTGGCATACCCTGTGAACCAAATGAATATCAAGGAAATTTGAGTCATGAGAGCATTTTAGATTTTAAATGTATTTCTGCTGCTGAACAGAGTGAACTGCACGCTGATAGAAAGGTTGCTTCTAACTGTCCTCTAACAGAAGAAATCCAAACCCAGCTGGTAAGTGAACCTGACAAAACACAAAAAGAAGTTGCAGAGACTTCAGAAATGCCGGCACAGCTGGTTAGTGAACCTGCCACTTCTCTACCCCCCAGAGCACAGATAGATTTTGGGGATATAAAATGTGCAGTTGAGACCCAAGTAGGAGTTGATGTAACCTCAGAGAAGAGGTCAAACATTGGATCTTTTGAGGAAATGCAAACCCAATTGGTGAGTGAACCATTTGTTGGAACACTCAACGAAGCACATCAAGTTCATAAAACTTTAGGTCACCCAAACAGCTTAGATGTTACATATGGTCCTAATACTGTTCAAAACATAGCAGAACCTGATGGAGAAGTTTTAGTCCCATCTAGCAAGGTATCTGACCTTTCTCATATAGAAAAAATGCAAATGCAGACTGTTTATGAACCTACCACTGAGATATCCAGCGAAGCTCCAGAGATTGCAACTTGTTCTGCTCTTTTGGCTGAGGCTGCAGACTCGACCAGGGAGGTCTGCACCATTGCTCTTAGAGATGAAATTCAAAGCCAGACGATATTGGAACCTAACCCAGAGATAGCAATTCAACATCTGATTGAAAATGAAAACAAAGTAAAAGTGGAATTCATGACGGCAACAAAGAGACAAATTGAAGTAGACACAACAGTAACAAAAGAGAGTCCAGTTTCACCCTCGCCATCGGATACCAATAAAGACCAAACAGAATTTGTCATGGAGACACCAGAGAATTGTTCCCACATTGGTTCTGTAGTCGAACCACTCAGTGAGGAAAACCACAATCTCAGTGAACAAACAGCTGGAGAAGACTTTGATGCACATGATGCTATGATGATTGAAACTGATCAAAATGTTAAGAAAGAAGAGAATGGTTGTAAAGAACATCTGAGCGTGCAAGACGATACAGTCCAATCTGAAATCCAGCTCATATCTGCTCCAGAGGATTTTACAGAAACACCTTTGGTGGAAATGCAGAGAGAGAAAAGCAAAAACGTAATTGAGATTCTGAATACAGTCTCCCCTGCTGTTGAAATACAAAACCAAATGTGGAAGGACAAAAATACAGATTCCACGCCTGTAACTGTTACGGATAATGAAATGGATACAATCTCTGATTCTTTACCCAAAACCTTCACTCCACCATCTGCTAGTGAAACAAACAAACAAATCCAGCTTATGATTGATGCAACAGAATCTGAAAGCAACACAAATAAAGGCAATCAAGATGAGACCGAAACTGTCAAACGTATTTTCATAGATGGCAATCCAGTTGAAATGGTAAAGCATACAACACAGCCTCTAGAGGAGATGTTTCAACCAACAACTATTATTGATACAAAAACCCAGAAGAGCCTTGATGCAAGTGAAACTGCTCAAGACTCTAACATGTGTGATGAAAACCTGAGCAAGACTTTTGAAGAACCCGTTGGCATTGAGGGGAATCTAACCCAAACAGAATTGCAAACACCCACATCTCTTGAGGATATTTCTAATGCAGCGGCTAAAGTACAAACAGAGAACCAGAAAGCTCAACAAGACATTGGATTGTCTTTTTTACCAGCTACTCCTGAAACAAACAACCAGAGGGGCCTTGAAGTAACTGAGGTGGCCAAAAGGGTCAAAGATGGCGAAAAAAAGGCTGTCGAAGATTACAGTGGTATTGTTGACAATCCAGTGGAAATGCAAGCAGTACCTCGTGAAGAGATTTTTCAACAAACCTCTAAAGGAAAAACCGAAAACCAGAAATGTATTGATGTTACGAATCCTGTCACTCTCATATCTGAAAATATCCCAGAGAGTTTCAGAATTCCCACAAATGAGTGTGAGGAAAATGAAAACTGGGTATCTGAAGAATATGTCGGCATTTCTAAGAGTCCAGATGAAATGAAAATTCAAACACCAGCAGAGAAAATATGTGATGAAAATAATAAGAATGTAATTGAGAGCCTTAGGTCAATTGCTCCAGAAGAACAAGAAATGCAGACTACAGAGGGGCCAGAGGAGATATCGCCATCAACTGTTACTGAACAAAGACATAGCTGGAGTAGTCAGGAAGTCCCTGAACTCACCTCAGACACTAGGAGTTTAGTTTCCTCGCTACCACCTGAGGCAGAACTCCAGCAGAGCCTTAATGCCGATGAGGAAAATGATGATAGGGTTTTTAGAGAAAATCTTGCTATTTCTGAGACTCCAGAAGAAATGGAGAAAAATTCTCAGGTACCGGAAGGGAATTATCACCAATCATTTATAGAAAACACCCAAAGCCAGAGAGTTCAGGTCAGTGAACTCTCTCAAGATACCAAAGCAGGGGATGACACTATTCCTGCTGAGAGTGAACAAAGCATTATATGTGTAAATGGTCAAATCAGTAGACCTTTCTATGCATCAGAAACCCCCAGTGAGACTTATTTTCAGGAATCGGATGTTCATCTTCAACAGCAACGAAACAAGGAGGCTGACAAAGAGTGTAAAGAGGAAAACAAGGTCACCTCTTTATGTGAGAATGTTCAAGAGGCTGAAACTAAAATGGAAACGTCTGCAGAGACAGTTGAAATTCCTCCTCTAGCTACTGTGGCAGAACAACGCAACCATTTGTCGGAAGAAATCCATGACACCAAAGATATATCTAATGAGGAACCACTTCCTGTCTTTAATTTAGAAAATAATGCAAATGCCAGCAAGTTGGAAGCAATTGCTGAGGATGTAGAAACAAGGAGACAGCTAACTGACGAAGCCATTGTTGAGAGATCTGTTACTAATCCTCAAGAAGGAGCTGCGCTTGTTGATGGTCAACATGATGAGTTTGGCAGTATTATTCAGGCATCAGAAGATGAGATAAGGACAGTAAATGAGACAGAGGTCCGGTTTTCTGATAGCCAGGTAGTCTACGAACCGATTAGCAGTCCTGAGAGCAACAGTGGTGGGGAAGTTTATACAAAAATTGACCTTGGTGAGAGTATTTCTGTTCTGGACATACAGAATACAGAGAGCCCTCTCCTTCTGGGTGCCAAGGGAGACTTTTCAACCCAAGAAGTAAAGGTAGTTGTTCACCCTCAACTGGAGGACAAAGAAGAAATTACCGTTCCAGACAGTCAGGTTACTGTGGAAATGGAAGTGCAAACTGTCAGTGAGGCAAAAGGTGCAACACATGCCCAGTTAGAGCAGAGTAATGCAACATCAAACGCTTCAAGTGTTGATATCAGCACTACAGATGGCAAGTCAGAAGATTCAGCTCACAAAAGTGAAAGAAGTGCCATTCCTGACTACAGAAGTGAAGAACTCTTAGAGAACTCTAAGCAGGTGCAGGAAGAGGATGGACTTCAGGGCGCTCCGCCCCAAAGTGAAGTAGAGATACCAGATGGTGCATCTGAAGAGTATGTAATACTAGAACCAGTTCCAGTGGGTGAATTTCACTTAGACATCTTGACTCAGGCTGCAGCTGAATCAGGGCTGTCTTCCTCACTCTCTGACAGTGGGTTAGTGGGAAAAGACTCAGATGAAAGTATCTTAAATGTCTCTCAAAAGAGAGGATTAGAAGAAGCAAATGATGGGTTCAAAAACGCTGCTGTAGACCGTTCTGGTGAGGTTTTACCTCAGGACCTTAAAAATGCTCAAAATTCGGAACACAAAAATGCAGAAATGTCAAACGCTGAGGCTAAGCACTCAGCTGAAGATGGTAAGGCTGTAGTATTGGAGAATGCAGAAGTTAATTTGGACCTTCAAGAAGTGCAAATGCTGCAGGACATCGAAATTGGTCGAGAGATTGTTGTGGCCGAGGAGGATGATGAAGAGGATGATGATGTAAAAATAATAAAGCCTTCCGAACAAGCTACTGAAGACCCTCCAAAAAAGTCTGAAGAGAAGGTAGAGGATAAAAATAAAGAGGAAATCAGCAGTACTTTGAAGGAAAAAGCTAAAACAGAAGATGATAAAAAGGGACCAGAGGTGGAGAAACCCAAGAAACAAGAAATGAATACGCAAGCGAGAACAAAAGCTCGACTTGCAGCTTTGGCCGAACAGAAGGCCGCAGAGTCCAAGAGAGCTGCGCAACGACAGCAGCTGAACCTCTTAGCCCTTTGTCAAGAAATTGCAGAAGATATCGCCACGGACAGCATGTTGTTGAAAAGGATAGAGGAAGAAAAACAAGCAGCGGTAGCAGCAGCCGCTAAAGCTGAAGCTACCAAAAGGGAACAACCAGCAGTTAATTTGCAAGATGCAGAACCGGATAATGTTGCAACTCCTGCTGGGCTAGAAGCCAGCTCTACTTCGGTGATACCTGCTCCCGAGTCATCTGCGCCCCATCCCTCGTCAACAGACTCGTCTGAAACCAAGCCAGCTGCAGAACCCCCGAAAAGACGCTTCTTCATATCACAAGTTTCAGTGCCGCTAAAAGCCCATGAAAAAAAGAAGCTTACCCGGTATCAGAGGCTGAGACAGGTTGAGCTGCAGAGGGAAAAAATGTCTTGGGCTCGCGTAAAGAAACTAAAATCTGATCAAGCAAACCAGATGTTTTCAGACATTGATTGGCAAGCTCCTTTTTCTTCCAGCTTTTTAATGGGTCCAGTAACTACTCCTCCTCCACCAGCAGCAGCCAGTCAGTCCACATCTTCCCCTGCAAGCCCTGCCCCTGCCAGTAAACCTGCACCACCAAAACCAGAGACGCCCAAGGCTGAGCCGGTCGCAACAGAACCAGCTAAAATGGAAAACTCTCCAACTCCTTCCCCTGAACCAGAAACTGCCAAAACCAAGCCTTCTAAAAAAGGAGCCGCCAAAGCTCCGCCTGTTAAAGCCGAGACCACTAAGCCTGCTACGCAAACTGTTGAAACCCGAAGGAGCACGAGGCAAAGTAAGGCTCAGGCTTCCCAAGCCGCTGCAGCTGCCACAGTACCTGCTCCAAAAGTAACCAGATCCACAGCCAAGAGGTCCCTCCCAGCAGTTCCTCCTCCCATGCCCAATGGACTTAAAGCTCAAAAACCGAAGCCTGTAGAGTACACGCCGTACAAACCCAGGCCAAAGTACTCTCCAGATGACTTTGAATTAGACGATGACGACATGTTGCTGGTAGCTCCAAAAAAGCCAAATCAGCCCAGTCAGCAGCTACGACCTGGCATCCCCGCTCAGCGCCCCACAACGTCATTAAAACCCACAGCTTCACCACAGTTACCTAACCAGGCAAAACTTAAAGCTCAAACTGCCCTTCCTGGACAGTCAAAGCCGAGTGCTGCAGCGCAAGCTCAGATAAAGCCAGCACAAACCAAGCCAACTGTTACAGCCCCACAGTCGAAAGCTACAACTGCAGTGACTTCAAAACTAGCTCCCTCTGTTGGAACTGTTCCTAAATCCATCTCTACTGCAGCTCAGTCCAAACCTGCTGCTCCCTCTTCTATGCTATCAAAAGCAGCTAGTACAAGTGTAACAAAGTCAAAGCAGCCTGCAACGAGAGGCGTTCAGCTGTCTGAATCCAAGCATTCAGTAACTTCAGTGCCTCAGAAATCCCAAAGTCCCCAAACACAGGAGGAAAACAAACCCAAGGTAAATCTAAATTTATGTTATTTCAGTTATTAGTACCATTATTATGAGTATGCTGTGATTGACACTTTTATTTTACAGGATGCAGCTGATTCATCCTCACCTGTTCCTGCTTCTGCCGTTGCACCTGAGGACAGTGCTAAACTCTCTAATAGAACTTGTGAAGAAATACCTAGTGGTTTGTGTTTTGTTCTTTTTGTTCCATAATACAAGGAAAGAGAATTCTGCCTCGTCCTATTACTATTTTTTGTCTAACGTTTTGCCCCATTTTCTCCTTTTCTCCAACAGTCAGTACTGCAGATTCTATTCCAGGAAGTAACACCGAATTAGCCATGACGGAAGAAAAGACATCGACGGAGCCGTCTAAGAGGTAAGAAGATTCAGTTTGCTTGTTTACTGTTTTTTTTTGTTGTTGTTTTTTTCCTTTAAATTAAAATGTTTGTGTTCAGGGTCCATGAACAGTTGGGGGAGTTTAGATATTTATATGAAAGTTTTTTCTTATCTGGAGAAATACAGAAAAAGAAAAATTAAGTCTGAAAAAAAATTCCTGTTCCGTTTAAATTTAAAACATTAGCTTAAAGCGGGCTGTTTATCCATCCCTCTATGTTTTTGTCTTTCTCCATCCAGTCATATGTGTGTCATTCACCCATCTATACGTCCATTTGATTTTTTTTCCTCTATTGTTTTTGTTCGTCCTCCTATTTTTCCATCCAACTGTCGATATCTCCATTCACCCTCCCTCAGTGTTTCCAGTGTTCCTCTTTTGAGTTTTTATCTGTTACTTTATCAGTTTGTCCCCATTTCCATCCATTCTGTTTTTTCTTTTTGGTTTATTTGTTTTGTTTTAGGCACTGTTAGCCTTAGTTTTTTATTATTTTTGAAAGTAAACTCACAGTAAAGGGAATTGAGAGAGAATGGGGAAAATATGATCTTATGCTCAAAACCATGACAACCAAGTCCAGTATTAAGGCCTTTTTAGGCTTTTTTATGTCTCTCCAGTTATCTGTCCTCCCATCCATTTGTCCATTTGTACAACTATACATTTTTTTTCAATCATCCAATTCCTGTCCATTTCACGTCCGGTCAATTTAAACCGTAACATCCTTAGAAATAGGTTTTATTCTTTGGAAATTTGCTGACAAAAAGGCTTGCCTTTCAGGCCGGGAGAATTTTAGAATCTGACTTGGGAAAAATACATCAACCCCACTGATGTGTGTTTGTTTCACAGCGGAGAAGAAAAGCCACCAGATGGGGCGTCTCCTCAAGAGGGCGACAAAGAGGGCACTGAGAAGGTAATTGTAAGCAAAATGATCACTCCACGCCCCATTTACCCAAATGTCTAATGTAGCTTAAACAGAAGAACTACCATCCATGTTGTATGCTGTGTTTTTTAAACTGACCTGTGTCTCCTTTTGTCTCCCAGGATGCAGAGCAGAAACACTTCGGCCCAGATGCCTGCAGCATATGTGGGATGCTCTACTCTCCTGCCAACCCTGAGGATGAATCCCAGCATTTACTGTTTCACAATCAGTTCATCAGTGCTGTCAAATATGTGGTGAGACCAAACATGGAGAATGTCTTCATCGCAATGATTCAATGCTGGCATTTAGTTAAAACTTAACTTAAACTTAAGGTTTGTTTCTTGAACATTGATGCAATGGCATCATAGCTAATTTAATTGGTTTGAAAGGTTTTTATGAGAAGACTCCAGATTGTTGGTGAGATTCTACCCTTATCTGTTTTTTTTGGACTGATTTTAGGCAACCTTTTAAACTGATCAGCATGACTTTTGTATATTTAAAGGAATCCTTTTGATGTTTGTAGTTTCCCATCAAGAAAGTAACATGAGAAACCCACTTGTGTATTAAAGGAAACCTCATGGGATCTGCTGATGTATGATATTAACTCACAGGGGGAGCTTTGTAACATAGGGCATATTTCTCCTTTATAGCTAACCCTTGTAGAGGCACTAAAAATTAGCAGCTGAGAGAAATTATTTAAGTTGAGATGCATGAAAATTTTGGATGTACGAAACTTCAATTATGCATCCTGTTAGCGTCATACATCCTAATTTGTAACGAACAGCACAGCTGCAAGATGTACAGGGCCTGTCCGCTTCCCGCCTGATATACATACACAAATCCAGAGATGGGAAGTAATGAAGTACAAATACTTAGTTACTGTACTCAAGTAGATTTTTCTGATATTTTTACTTTACTTTACTACTTATTTTTATAGCGACTTTTTACTTCTACTCCTTACATTTTTACACAAAAATCTGTACTTTCTACTCCTTACATTTAAAAAAATTGGCTCGTTACTTTAGTTTTGAATCATTTCAATGGAGTTGCCATTATTATTTTTCACGTCATCAATACCAAATTCAATCTAATTGGATGGGAATCTACGTTGCATTTGACGCACCACTACAAGATGAATCGACAGATTCGGCGGTATTCATTCGCGGCAAATCATTGCAGCTTGGTGGCGGTGGCGTTAGCATAGTAGTATGGACGACGAGATGATTGAAAATGAACACAACGGAGATCTAGTCCTATTGGCAGACATCCATTTAAAATGTAGGCAACGGCATGAAAAAAGTGGTTTCTACTTTTACTTTTATACTTTAAGTAAATTTACAAGCCTGTACTTTGTTACTTTTACTTGAGTAAAGAAGTTTAATCAGTACTTCTACTTTTACCTTACCACTTTTACCAGAGTATTTTTTAACACAAGTATCTGTACTTTTACTCAAGTACGGAAAGTGAGTACTTTTGCCATCTCTGCACAAATCAGTACCTGAAAGGCACTCACGACATGTCGAAATAACCCTGGCAACGTTGCTGTTTTCTACCCACCATGAGGGATATTTTTATTTAATTACTGCAAAACAGCTTCTAAATTGACATTAGCAACTCAAACTTGGCCGAAAATAAAAAGGTATGTAGGTTTGTACCTGTTTTGTTGTAACCTGCTTAAAGTTTGTTTCCAACACAACTAGTATAATTACAATAATTATTTCACCAATTAGAGACAAGTTGGCTGAGAGGTTAAAGGGACACTATGCAACATTTTTCAGTTAATTAATGTGTTCCATAACGTTATGGATGATTAAATGAGTCATTTCAGGTTGAACAAAGGTATTCTCGGCCGCCCTGGTGGTCTGTGGGGGAAATACTGCACTTGCAACTGCAGGAGCACCGACCCGCACCCACAGGCTCAGAAGTCTCGTGAGAGTCAGTCTTGCTTTACGGCGAGAACTGCTACACCCCCCAGTTAAAAGCATTCTCGTTGCTAGCACAGTGGCAATCTTTGTGCAGTTATGCTACGTTCACGCAGCAAAAGCAGCAAAATCGCATCTGCTGCTTCATTTTTGCTGCTTGTACCAGTTAGTTCTGACGCGTGGCTGAAGCAGCTTTGCTGCTCTGGCTGCAAAAGTGTGTCTGAGGCGCGTTGGGCTGAGCTTCACTATCCTTTCTCTGCCTTGCAGCTATATTTGCTGTGATCAGTGGGAATAAAGTAGTTTTAATATGTTTTTAAGTGAGAAAATACACCTGAAAACGTAATCAGTGCAGTCAGTTCATTCAGATTATTATCCTGCCTTCAATATTTTTTCTGTCGGAGCCGCTCAGACCCCCACATACCAGGGATGCGCCGACAGTATGGATCCCTTCATCAGCAGCGGTTCACCGCGGCAGCTGGTAGGTGTTTTTCATCTAAATAATCCAAACTGCACATTCTGCCGGCAGATTTCTGCATTTTAAGTTAATTTAGGCGTCAATAAACTGTTTAAGAGCAGTGATCATCAGCGCTGTGTCTCTCTCCCTGCGGTAAACGCACCCGACGCGCTGCTGCAGCCGCTCAGACGTGCTGTGCCTGCAGCTCAAAACGCGCCGCGGGACCTTTGCATGTAAACTCGCTGCTTCTGTCGCGCCAGCTACATCCAGTGTGAACGCAGCGTTAATCATTCGCTGCTAAGCTCAAAACAACCGCGCCTGGCTTGACGGAGAAACCAGGAGAACAGCTGTGCATATTTACGACAGTGCACTTTTACTTTCGCCCTCTGGAGGGAGCCTCGCTGGAAAATCAACACCGGTTGCATAGTGTCCCTTTAAGGCGATGGACTGCTAATCCATTGTGCTCTGCGCGCATGGGTTTCGAATCCCATCCTTGTCTCAAAACATGCTCTTCTAGTGTTGCTGTGAGCATGAGATGCACTCTATCAAACAAATGTCTTAATGTACTGAGTCCTGAGGTTGTGAGTTCAATCCCCCACTCCCACAGACTGCCACTCTGGGTCCCTGAGCAAAACCTTACCCCACACTGCTCCCCGGTTGCTCTCCAAAGGGATGGGTTAAATGCAGAGAGTTGATTAAGAGATTATTAAAGTATGTAAAAGACCAATGCCACTTCATTTATGTAATATGTTTGCATAACACCAATGGGTTGCTCGAGTGATTTCTGTTCACAACAGCATATCCAGTAGGCAGTAGGATCACTGAAGATGAGTTCTATGAATTCTCTCTGGGATCTGGGATCTTTCCTAAAAAGAAGATTTCTTACAGAATTAAACCAGGTGAAACTTTTTGTTGCACCCCATTTTTAATGCACCTGTATCAAATGATTGCTCGTTACTGTGCCTACACTGAATGAGGGGATTGAGCCTTTTTATATTCAAGTGAGTTAGAGAAGAGATGCATGTAAAAGTTACAGGATTGGACTTAAGCACCTCTGTTTTAGGATTGATTACTAAATTAGTGGACGATTATTTCAATAATCGATTCATCGGATTAATTGTTTCAGCACCAGTTCCCATGGCCTCTGTAGAGAAACAAGCCCACAGCATCATGCATCATTCACTGTATTTAAAAATGGACATGGACTTCTTTAACATGCATTTAACTTTTAATCTGCTTCTAATATATATGGATGGTTTCTGCCATAAATTAAAAATAATCTTAGTCACAGATAATGAAATAAAAGAAAAGTTGTTACATTTTGCTTCGGTGTGTGTTGCAAAATAGGTTTTGGTCCTCCTCATGCCTTCTCTGACTCAATCCAAGTTGTTTAAAACTCTTTTTATTAATTAGATTGACATTTACAATTTAAGATAACAAACCATTTTCTTTAATTTTGTTAATATTATATTACTTAATAATAAGCTCTACCTAATAGCATATTCTCTAGTCTTACTATTTTGATGATGAAAGAAATTTTTGTTGTCACCCAAAAATGGAAATTGATGAATTACAAAGTAAAATCTTGTAGATCCAGAAGAACTAAAAACATGAACGAGAAAAAAACATGTTTTATTTTATGTGTGCCGGTCATGACATTAGTGATTCATTGATTTTGGGTTTTTTGTTTCTACCAGATGAGTATATAAAGCTTTGGATGTGATTTACTTTCCAAAGAATGCTAAATAAACAAATAAATGTTAATCTCATGTTTAATTTATAGAGTAAAGCTGGTGTGCTATTGGTTTTGCTAATAAAAAACGCCTTCAGGATTAAATGTTTTTTTTTTTTTTTTCTGTTTTAATTTTTCAGGGTTGGAAAAAGGAGAGAATCATGGCTGAATATCCTGATGGCAAGATCATCCTTGTCCTCCCTGATGATCCCAAATATGCCCTGAAAAAGGTAAGTAAATTCAGAGGTTAGAAATATCAGTGCTTCTCATATTTTGGACTTCTGTCTTAAATCATGTTTGCGGCTTGCTAATTTGCTGTTCATCTCAGGTGGAGGAGATCCGAGAGATGGTGGACAATGACCTCGGCTTCCAACAGGTGGAGACAAAGTGTCCATCTAAGACTAAAACCTTCCTCTTTATCTCTATTGACAAGAAAGTGGCCGGATGCCTCATAGCAGAGCACATTCAAGAGGTAGCAGACTGCAGGCTCTTATATCTGTTTAGAGCTGTTATGTCTCTGAGCCTTTTTTAACTCCTCTTCATATTTGCTCAAAGGGGTACAGAGTGATCGAGGAGGCTCCTCCTAAGGGCTCAGAAGGGGAGAAGGTGATGTTTGAACGTCAGAGAGCTTGGTGCTGCTCCACCACACCCGAGCCAGCCATCTGTGGCATCAGCCGCATCTGGGTGGTCGGAATGATGCGGAGGCGGGCCATCGCCACGCGTATGATCGAGTGCCTAAGGTCAGTTCCTGATTGGTGCCCTGAAGAACTATTAATAAACCTTGAATATTTTCACAATTTGACACACAAGACAGGAAGTTTATATGGTAGAGCAGTACTTTGAAGTGAGAGGTAAGGGATGCATGGTTTTAAAACATTGACAGATAAAAAAATTTTAATGGGTTTGGATTCCTTCAATTTATGACCTTTTTATTCTGTTAGAAGAAATAAGATCCAGAGCATCCAGTTATCATCAGACGTCATCTAAAGAATCAAATGTTTGTGAATTAATCTTAATATAAAGCCTCAATTTCTTAGAGAACATTCATGAACTAACAGCATAATAGACACCAATGAATGCAGCAGACCGGTCACAAATATGAGAACACCAGGATGCTGCTATATGGTGGTGGCAGCATCATGCTGTGTGGATCCCATATCCCTGTGTGATAATGGCCTAGTTAAAGTCAACTGATCATCTCTGACAAGACATTCTCTCCTCACCCTGGTTGCAATTGAGATATGTAGCAAATAGACAAATATTTAAATATTCATAGCAAAATTATATTCTAAAACTTGTTAAAAGTTAATTGTATTAGGGTCTATAAGAATCTACACGGCCTCACTTCCAGTTATTCTATTTTCATTTTTTACCTTGAATTGATTTATGTGAAAAGAGTACATCATGCAAAGCAAAATAACTTGCAGTCACTTATGGTTGCTTTTTTGTTTTTTTCACAGGAATAACTTCATTTACGGTTCCTACCTGAGTAAAGATGAGATTGCGTTCTCAGACCCGACTCCGGATGGAAAACTCTTTGCCACCCATTACTTCGGCACATCTCAGTTTTTAGTTTATAACTTTGTAAGCGGGACCCGCTCAATCCAGCCCAAAACTGGCTCAGTATGACAGCCCCCTGGTAGAGGCGGCCATGGATCTGACATGGAAATCTTCACAGTGAATAAAGAGACTTAAATTACTCCTCTAAGAGCTCGATCATTGGACTAAAACTCAGGGTGACAACTTAAACTCTTCCCTGCATAGTATTTTGGAAAATATATTTTCTTTATACTGTTTTTAAACAAGCAGTTGGTTTTATTAAAATAAAATAAAATGCATGATGTGAGAGAGCAATAGAGTTTAAAGATCATATCAGTTTTTTATGTTCAGCAATCTGAAACCTCTTTAAAAGCTGTGAGGATAGGTGTTAGGATCTCCTCCTGGACAGGGAAGCCGCGGTTGTCTTTGGATGGATTAAGATTTGATTCTTTGAGCTGTAGTTTGGATTCTTCATGTATTCCTGTAAGGTTTTATTTTTCAAACCGAGCCATAATGTCTACTTTTTAGACTTGTTCTGTCTGAATGTTGTCTTCAAGTCTCACCAAGGGTTTTTATTTTATTTTAAATGTGCTCTGTTGATGCTTACTTGATTGTTTGTTTCGCTTTATTCACCTCTCAGCCACACGCCGCCCCCACCATCCGGCAAATGGCTTTTTATTCAGTTAGTGTAGAGAATCTTCCTTTTATTCCTTATTAACAAATTAAAACTTCTATTGAATAATCATGTAGATTTATGCATACTATAACAAGATTTATAATGGAAAATAAGAACGATCTTAAATGTGTATTTTTTTGTGTTTTTTAAGTTTGCATAAAGGTCCACGCTACATAAGGGTTTAGATCACACTCCGATTAACCTCATCATCCCTTATTTTCTCCATCCTTGTTAAAGCAGTCGCCTTTTAGTGGCATTTTGTGTAAGAAAATAAATTGATTTATATGAATCTCTTATGTAAATATTTATTTAAATAAACTGTAAAATATTTTTCTTTGTGGGAAGTTTCTTCATTTCAAAGTGGTGGCTCCCACTCTGCACAGTAGGTATATGTTAAAAAAGAGAAATTTCCAGTTCTGAATAAATGCTCTTAATTCTTAAACATTGGCTTAAAAACTATTCATATTCCACTCTCCCTATAGACTCTAAGTGCTATTACTTTATTCATCTGCTGTTGAACATTATTATATTATAAGTATCAATATGTGGGAACCACATGGTCATGTTATTCAGGTAATATTTAGGCAGCCAAGCCTATTTAAAATCAGATTGAAAACAATTTATTCCTAATCCTGAGAAATTAAATCTCATGAGTTCTTGAAATTTGAATTGCTACCCAGTCTAATGCAAAGCTGGTGTATAGTCATTTTGAAATGTAATCAGTTTTATTTTAGAATGTAATTTAGAAGAGTAAACTAATGTTAAATTGAGATTATATGTCTAAATAGTTTTGTTGGGAATATGGTTTATTTTTTAAATGTTTTATTTTTAGTTGACTGCATTTGTGAAACTGGGATGTAAGAAAAAATGAGTTGAAAATAATTTGATAATATTCTATTAAAATTAATGCATGAAAACATAAAAACACAATGAGCTATTTTTAAGAAATATTGTAAATTTTCTGTAGTTTTAAACAAACATTATCAGAACCCACTGTTGATCTGAAGATGAGCCTGCAGGCCTAGGGCTGCAGGTTACAGCCCTCTTTATTAGACTAGTAGAGTAGACCAGTGTCAAGGTTTGTGAGAAAATAAAATCATCATAGCAATAAAGCTCTTCAGTAGAGGTGGTGGCTATATAAAATACTTAAAGCCCATGTTCAGGAAGCATCTCTGTTTTGAAGCGTTACCCCAGCTGAGACTCATGTCTCTTAAATCCTACCAATTTTTTTGGTATAGTTTCTTTTATAATTCTTTCCAAATATTGTTTGCTTCATGATTTACACACCTTTTTCTGTCAGTTTTTCTTTCCACTTAACCATCCAGTTATAATGGTTTTACAGATAATGAAATCCTAAAAATTATTTCAAACCATAAAAGATCATTCTACTTTCTTGTGCACCTTTGACTTCTTGTTTTTATTTCTTCCCTTCGTTCTCCATGCTTGCAGTCAGCAGTCAGAGGGATGACATTTTGCCACTCTCCTTATGGAGGCAGTCAATGATTACTGTCTTTAGTTAAAGTCATTCCAGCCCTCTCTCCTGCCGTGTGAATATTTCCTGTATTTTTTAGGTATATACTAACATGGTAATTTTCTGAGAAAGTGGGTTTCAATTTTCTCTAATCCATTATCATCAAAATAATAATATATCACACCATGTAACCAATCTATATAGATTTATTTTATTTTAGTTTCAATCTAAGTTAAAATATGAACATAAATTATTTCCACAATTATTCTTATATATTGGGATATCTTGGAATCTGTTTTAAATTGTGGGAATTTTCTTGCTTGAAGATGTAAACACTCCGCTCTTTGCACATTCCTCAACGCTCCTGTCACAACACGGGACTGCATGATGGCAACATCAGAGAAACAAAACAGTCTTAGAACAACACAAATGCTTCCTCAACCAGGGAGGGACAAAAACCGAGGCTCTGCTGACGACTCCTCTGGGCGCTGATACACATCAGGAAGAGAAAAACATGTTTGGGTTTCTCACTCAACAACCACAAATTGATTTTTTGGGGGCTTTGTTTTTGCTTTGCTCATCAAGAGCATCTTTGTTGATTAAAATAGTACAGATCTATTGCTCAATTTAGGTTGCTTAAAAAAAAAAGACACAAAGTTACTTGTAAACACAGTTTTTATTCTCACACATTAGCTCAAAAAGACAAAAGAACATTACAGCTGCCAGATTGTAAACCATAGACCACTTGGTCCTAAACGTTTTGGTCACGCTATCGAAAACACAACAACCACAGTACAGATCATTTCTACAGTCTGGTGTAATTATTAAAAAAAGAAACTGCTCCAAGTTAAACCTGAGCTGCAGCAACTATTCTGACCAGCTCCTGCAGCGCTGCTTAGCTCACCCTGATTTTCTGACATCTGCAGGGACTTGATCTGTTTAAAGTTTTAAAGTGAGATTACAGTAATGCTCAGGCTGTTTGTTTTGTTTACAGGCAACCTAGAGGGGGAAAGACCTGCTCTGGTGCATGACTGGATTACACAGGAAATTCTTGATGTTTACGATAAACCAAGCAGCAACTGACAAACTCTTAAAAGCTGTACCTTTTGTGTTTTTAGTCAGCAAATGAAAAATCAAATGAAACAAACAAAATCCGATTTTAATGAGATGCCTGGAAAACTGGACAACTTGAATAAAATTGGGGCTCAGTGGATGAGAAAAAGAGGAAAAAATCAACTGAGAAAGACAAAAACCAAATTACTGACTGTACTTAAAAATGTAAAGGTTTTGTAGCCATTACACAATGTTTTATATGAAAGTTAGCTGAAGTGAGTTGAAATTCAAGGCCATGAAAACATGATAATGTAGGCACAGAAGACAATATATTCATCTCTAACCCTGTGTACAATTTATTTTTAGCTGAATGTGAGAGTTTGTTGCTCTCACAGTATGGGACAATGCTCACCACAAAAATGATACAGTAAGTCCAAAACATCAGGTTCTTGAATCCGTCTGTTAATAACGCCCTGACCTTTCCCAGGCTGTACCACCACCACCTCACCATCGGGTGGCAGCTCAACCAGCGGGTGCACTTTATTGTCCTTCATCTTAAAATCTATAACACCTATTCCTGGCAGGGCTCCGTTTCTCTCTGTCCATGTTTTGCTGTCCTCTGAAGCATCCTTTGTCTCCTCAACACTGTCCTCGTTCTTGCTGTCCTTGCTTATTACGCTCATTTCATCCTGACATGCCTCTGATTCACTGGCATGAGGCAGGGAGAAATAGGTGCACTTTCCAGGTTGGGATTTGGTCTCGTTTTGTAACTCTGGTTTTGAACTGAACAATAAATACGGAGTCTTCTCCTCTTTATCCTTACAAAATCCATCATCGTAAAATGTGTTTGTCAAGGTTTTGTTAATTCCAACTGGGTCTGACACTGACTTTCTCATTTGTGTGTTCTCTCTAAGAAGCCACCGGCCATTGTCAATAGGAACACTGTCTCCAGGCCCCACTTGTGCGTTGAACGTAATGCATCTCGTTGCTTCACTGAAGATGTCTAGAGCATTAGAGGAATTAAAATAGGAGAACTCTGACATTGCCTTAGATCTAGCTGCGTGAAATGGAGAGAGGATGCTTGAAGGTTCCCTCTTTCTTTGATCTGGCTCTGAAGGGGATCTCTCACTCACTTCCTCTGGTTCGGGGTCTTTCTTGCCATAAAGCATTTCGATTGCCCTCCTTACAAAGCCTTTAGAGATGGATTTTCGTGGCGAGTCGTCTTCGTTACCAGATAGGTCAGTAGAAGTCTGGGACTGATAGCCACCACTGCCTGATGTCTCTGCCCTCAGCTCGGATGAGCTTGGGCCCAGGAAGCCTCTCTGTTGAATGTCTGTGGCGCTCCTTGCTAAAAACATTTCCCTGATGGATCTGACTCTGCTTCCCTCGGGCTCTGTGGTTATAACACCACTGGAGTCGTAGCTAAAAGATAACGATGACTGAGGAGCCGATCGAGTACAGATAAGCATCTCGGAAGCAGGTGACTCAGAAGGGGAATCCTCGGATTCAGGAGGAGACTTTCTTTGAGAGGAAAGCCTGATTGTGGAACTTTTTGCTGCAGGTTTTGGTTTCTGGGCTTCAGCCACCTGCTTTTCCAGAAGAGTCACCCGCTCTGCAACGGACTTGGATAAGACCTCATCAGATTGATGTTTAAGACTTTCAACAATCCCCTTGGTGTTTAACTCTTCTAGCTGTACTCTCAGGGGAGTTTCCTGGAGTTCGGCAGTTCTTTGCTTTAATCTTCTCTCTCTACTTGTTTCTTCCTCCTCAGAGCTAAAGTCATTTTCATAGTAACTCAACTCTTCTTCAGTTAAGTTACTCTTTTGTTTATCTTCATCCTTTAGCTGCACTTCATACATATGTTCCTCAAAACTGCTGTGGTCGTTGCCACTGTCATCATCAACATTGGATCTAAATCCATATCCTAAACTTTTATTTGTTATCAAGCTACATAAATCTGGATTTTCTAATGCACCAACTGAGCCTCGGTTAGGAGAACCTTGCTGTTTTAGCTCATCAGCAGCATACTGGATCTCATCCTCTGAACTAAACTGGTCGTTCTCAGACTCCTCGATCAAAGCCTCCAGATCTCTACCTGCTTTTGTTTCCTCTGCAAACTTAGGAAGATAATCAAGGGGTTCCTCTTTCTCATTGCCAGACAAGCTTTCCTCAATAATAACATGCAGTTTTTTATAATTAACTTCTTGCTGTTCCTCCAGTGAAGATGGATCCTCTACATTTAAGCTTCCTGTACTGCCATTAGTGCTTATGTTTAGCCCCATACTGGCTCTTTGGCTTTGTGACACTTTACTTTTGATTTCTATCGGATCATACAGATTTTTGCAGTCTGAGTTGAATGTTGTTTTCTTCCCTTTTACTTTTACTTCTGCGTAATAGTTAGAACTTGCACTGATCCCTTGTTTTGTCCCATGATCTGTTACTTCCGCTCTCTCTTCTGTATATTGTTTAAAACAGTCTTTATTGGCACTTCTAATCACCTGGTGTCCTTCAGCCAGATCTGATCTAGCTTCCTTGATTATTTCAGTGTAGAGCGTGTTTTTCTCATTTTGTGTTAACTGGTTAGCATCCATATACGTCTCTTGTTTTGCGGGTTCTATCCTGCTGTACAGGTCTACACTTTCTGCACCTTTTTGTGGTAATTTCTCAAACAAACATGCCCTCTGGTGCTGTTTTTGCTTTTCCGGATTATCTTGTGCCTCATCTGTACATGTCTGCAAGTCTAGAGACATTATGTTGAAAGTCTTCTTTTCTTCTGGATTATATTCTGAATCAGCGACAGAATTCAACCAATTCTTGCAGCCCTTGTCTTCTATTACTTGCCTTGTTGTTTTGTATTTTCCTGCCTCAGAAAACAGAGGAGTACTGTCCAATTCTGGTTGTGCTGGCTTTTTAATGTCAGGTATTTGTTTCACAATAGACCTGACACCACTATTATCTTTTTCATCATGAGTAACAGTGTCTTCGCCAGTGTTTTCATGAATTAGTTGGTCTGCCAACAGCTTCAGTCTGCTAGAATGTCTCTTTCCTCGTCTGTCACTCTCACCGTCGGAAAGCGAAACCAGTTCATCCTTTAGCCTTTTGGGAATGTCTAAATTATCTATTATCTGGTCAATAACATTTTCTCCAATGCCACAATCAAATTCAGGGGCAGCCTCTGAAGAAATAAGGTTTGTGCTTTTGTCCTGGAAACCCTTCCAGCTTTGGAGGAGCTGCATTGAAGCAGACTTTTGTAAATTGGACAAACTGATTCTCAATCTTTGAGAGTCTTCTATGTTGGCAATTTCTCGGAGGGAATCAATCATTTTTAAAGCTTCAGCACAGCTGACGTTGTATGCATTCAGCTCTTTCATATTCAGGTTTGCCAAGCCATCTTTTAGGGTCATAACTGCAAGGAAAGCAAGAAGAACCTTGGATGAAGAGCCAAACGTTGAGGCCACATGAGAGGAAAAGTCGGGTAAGCTGTTGGACTTTTCCAAACAGGATGGACGCTTACTCTGAGTAATTTGTCGTATTGATTTTATTGAGTAGCAGATCTTCTCAAGGACTGGCTTCATGTTAGGCTGATCCACTGAATGTATTGGCTCTGGCATCACAGATATAACTTGATCTCCTGCCACAGCCTCAGTGTCACCACTGATATCAGCTTTCAGCAGGGCTGGTTGGTGGCCTTCTCTTTGGGATGATTTCTTAAGTTTTCCATTCTTTGATTGTAACGGGCTGTCCAAAGAGACATTTCTTGGAAGAAGCTTTTTGCTGGACTTGTGCCTACTAGGTGGTGACACCACATCTAGAGACTGAGAATATGGGGAAGGTCTCTGAAGTTCATGGTGTTTTGTCTCCGCTGACGGACTTACTTTGGGTTTTTCAGGTTTTTGTAGTCCTTTTTGTGAAAGATTGTCTTTGTCCACAATGTGTCTAGTCTCTGCTGAATTTTTTGTTGACGTATTTTGGAGTTCAGAGGAGTTTTTGCTCTGCATCTTCCTCTCTGGAGATGGACTGCTTTTCAATTTGGCTTTTTTTGCCAAACTCTTAGGTGATTTTTCTTCGATTTTGGGCATATCAGATATTTTTGTTTCTTCAAACTCAATACTTCCCAAAACTGAGGTTTCACTTGATATAATACTGGAAGACGACATTCTTTCATCAGAGGTTAAACTAAGTGGAGACACAGAAGTACAAAATGATGGAATGCCCCGCTCTAAGGTGGGTTGAGGGATCTCTTCAGATGTGGCTGTAACCTTTTTTGCTGTCACTGTTGAGCAGATTTCCTTCCTTCCATTGCTGATGGTGGGAACTGACAATACTGTTTCCTCTTCAGTAGCATAGTTATCCAAAGCTGGTTCATTCAGAGGTTCCATTTTGGGTGACATTTTTGTTTCTGGAGAGTGATTACTGACCAAATGAGTCTCTTTAATGGATGGAGCTCTGGCTATTTCTACCCCCTTTTTAGCCGGGGCATTCTTGGTTAAAGCAGATTTTATTTTTTCAGTTGTGTTATAATTGTAAGATAAGGCCTTGTCAGATGTAGGAGTCCTACTTTGGGGACAATTATCTAGTCCCTGGCTGCTGATAAGGCTACCACTTAGACATTTAGATTCATTTGTGAAATCTTCAGTATCAAGTAGTTTGGGCGGTGGTGGTGGTAAATCAATAGACATTGTAATATTTCCCTCTTCAGTTGATTCAGTTGTCGGTGGGATCATTTTTGAGTAGATCACATTTAGGGGTGGCTTAGCTTGTGTAGCATCCTGGCCATTTTGTGATGTGACTGCAGGCATTGATTTGTTTTCAAAAGACTGTACTCTCAGCTTAACTGATGGGGAGATCACATTTTCCAGGGTAGAAAGTTCAGAACTTTTGCTGTTTTTTGAGGTCTCCTCTAAAGTTCTTCCTACTTGTGCAGGAATAAATCTGTCCATTCTTTTGCTTTCTTTTTTTTGGTTTGATATTGGGTTTGAATGTCCCTTCTCGGGCCCATGCTCCACATACTCTTTATCAAAGTTAGGAGGATTATTAATTGGTAGCAATGGCCTGTCTTTAATAACATGCAAGGACTCGTTTTTACTCTGCCATATCTGTACTATTTGTGGAGAGCTTGTTTCTGTTAAGATTTGCTTGCTGGTCTCTTCTTTTAAAGATAATTGACCATTAACATTATTAGCGAATCGCTTTGGTAAGCTTTTCCAAGTTTGTTTTACTTTCCTTTTGATCTTTTTTGGGGGCTTAGTTTTGTTTCCATAAATTCTCTTAATGAACACTGCACTGGAGAATGGTTTTAATTTTTTACGTTTCTCAGTAGCCTTTCCTGAACTCTTCCTTTGTCCTTTACCTGGTGTCATATCCCGTTGGACATTTTTTCTAGTCAATTTTGGCTTTGAGGAAACCCTCAGATCTTTCTTTGATTCATTGTCTCCTGGCTTGACTTGGCTTTTTTTAGATTTTGGTAGCTGTTCTCTTTTTGGTCCTTGAATTGCACCAATGTTTAGGGAGGCCAATTGTAAACCTGGTGTTACAGACATGCTATCAGCTCTCCATCCACTATCTGGCTCAAAAGCCGGCGAAGGCCAAAGTTCAGCTTCAAATTCATTAGAAGAACAATTTTGCCTGTTTTGTGAAGTAACTCCAGAAGCAGACATACTGTGAACACCAACATTTGCAAGAAAATTATCCTGATATGTGTGTTGTTCATATATGTGCAAGACTGTTTCAGTAACCTCATCTCCGCTGGATTCAGTCTGCATAATTTCAGTGGATTTTAATGCAGAACTGTCCCTGTTGATAACATCCACAGAACCAAGTCGTCTTGGTTTAGGAACTGGTTTTGTGCTGGTCTGATTCTCCATGTAGAACTGCTCTTTTGTTGTCACGTTCTCTGTCTGTTCTTCGAGGAAACAAGAACCCACCTTTCCTTCTCCAAAATCATCCTCATCTACAGATTTAATGCTATCCACAGAAGCTTGGCTTTCTCTTATTCTCTTGCATCCTGGAGTAGGTTCTCTCCTTGGGAGCAACACTTCTGTGTGGTTTTTAAGATCATCCTCATCCTGAAAATTATCACTAGAAGCTCTGTTTCCAAGAGATGGTGGATCATCGTCATTGTCATCACTGGTTCTGTCTTTATGGATAATGTCATTGGAAGCTGCAGAAGTTTGTGAATTTCTTGAGCAAACCTCCTGCTCTGGGTCAGAATGTGGCAAAGACGACATGTTAAGCTGATCAGCTACAACTGACCGTGTCAAGGTGGTTGTCCACTGAACAGATTCCTCCTCTTTAATTGTCAGCCGCACTTTCATCTCCACTGTCATACTGCCGTCCTCATTTACCCGAAAGGACTTCTCAATGTTGTCGTCATTCGGAAGATCGCCGTCCTGTCCCTCATTACCGCCATTGCCGAGACAGATGTCCTCGTCTGTTTCTGCCAAGGACTCCAGTATTCGATCTGAGTCTGACTCGATGGAATTAGCGGCGTTACTGGGCAGGTCACAGGAGCTCTCGCCCATGCTGGCATGAATCTGTTGGACGATGTACCTCTCTGATGATGCAGAGAAATTTCTTGACTTTGAAGAAAATGAAGGTGTCATTTTCTTTGCTTCTCAGAGAGTCCAAAAGGGTTGTGTGAAAAGTTGGAGAGTAAAAAACAAGAAATTCAAGAGTTTTCCAGAAAAGCATGAAGGGAGAAAAGAAAAGGAAGAGAAAGTTAGACTGACTGAACGGCTGCTCCTCTAGAACATTAGCCAGCAGCGAAGCATGTAGGTCATCTACAGCATTATGTTCAATATTATCACCTCAGCCCTTTCTCAAGCTTAAACCCTTGACTGACAGCAGATTACTGCATACACTTAATATGTATCAAGCTAATACAAGGCTAATGAACACAGTTTTAAGAAATTCTTCACCTAAATAAACCAACCAATTTATTTTTTTACTTACAGACTGAAGTCTTTTGTTTTTTTGAAACCCTTCGCTTGGTGTGTTGCCTTGTTGGACTTGGATATTTCTCCATGCTGTATACGACATGCCTGAAAGGTTCCCTGCCCACGGCAACCACACTTCCAGAGCACAGAATCAAACCTGGAAGACCATCAATCTGAAAAGACAGGAAATAAATTGCTTTTAATTAGTGTAGCTCAAACTATTCCTTAAACTAAAAATATATCTAAACATTTTACTATTTATTTTTACCTACTACTTTACAAAGAATCCTAACTTTAAGTATGGAATTATGTATGTTAAATAACAAGCAAGGCTTGAACTTGCATTAGACCCAATGTTAAACTATTTGCCTATATTTACACTTCCTTCAGCTTTTTCACATTTTGTCATGTTACAGAGTTAAAATTCAATTCTTTTTATTGGGACTTCAATTGATAAGCCACGGCAACTGACTGTGACGTAGCAAGCGTGACAGAAAGTTGGTGGGGGAATGTAAACAAACAGCCTGTCGGTAAATCAGTGTATACGTCCTTCTATAAAATCAACAAGCGTAGAGCCTCTTCCTGCTCACATTTCAACGAAAATCCCAAGTCTAAGTCTAAGTCTTTTTGCCATCTTTCTTGTTGTGCTTTGTCCAGCGTTGCACAGCTTTGTCGGCCCAGCCCTCAAAACCCTTGGCCACTTTGCTATTGAAAATTCAAAACACATCTCTGATTGGCCCACCAGTTCTAGGGCCTGGGGCATTGATCAAGGCTAGACCCACTTGCAAGAAAAAAGGATTTTGGCCGCTGGCGGGTGGGGCTAGTTTTCTAGGATATCAAATGTTAGCGCTTGTCTTGCTATATTTCAACCTGAAATACTTACTCAATCTATTTCAGATGATTAATTTAACCTCGGTCTGTTGAGTATTCAAAACCTGATATTGATTAAGTAATTATTTGATGTTTAAGGGTAGTTCATTGGAAATCGCAATAAAGTACATAGAATATTGTGTTTTGAATTTCACAAAAACTCTAAAGGTTTAAAGGTATGAATAATTTTGCAAGGTACTGGAGGTATTATAAGGGTTTGCAAGAAAGTTTTTCACTCCCTTTTCTCATGTGACCACTTCCTCATGCCAGGGGTAGGTCTTTGTCAGTACTTTTAGGGTTGATAATGTTTGATTTCCAGCAGAATAACTTTGTGTTTGATCTTGATGGGAAACACTTACCCTTCGGCCATCCAGAGTATGTAGTTTGTTGACGTGGAACTGCATGAGTTCTGAGATGTGTCTCAGGATAGACTCATAACTCGGCGTAGTCTTCCTCTGTAGCAAAACAGCATGCCTTACAGAGGGGTCTCCGTTGCGAAACACAACCAGCTTTTTGGGTGTATGAACAATCCCTTGCTCTTCTCTGTGGAGATTTTTCCGGCCTGGAAAAAACCTGGCTGTCTTGCGATTAGGACTAACAGGTCTTGCATGGTACCACGGTGGCAGCCTCTTCCGGGCCAAGGCCAGATCGATTGGCTTGACTTTCCTGCTGTCAGAACAGATGTAGGATTTCCCATCCTCAAAATCATCTAGCGCTTTGATGCCATGAATCCCCCGAGGAGTCGTTATGTTACGCACCCCAAAAGGCAGGGGGACTTTTTTGGAAAGACTGTCCAGAAGCGCATCGAATGTTTTAAAGGTGCGGTTGTTTATGACCACTCGAAGGCCATTGAATTGTGGATCCCCACTTTTGTAGAAGCAGACCCGCTTTGACAGAATAGTACTGGTGACACTCGTGTGATGGGAAGTTTCGAAGGTATGTCCGCTACCTGATGACTGGTCAGGGAGGGTTCTCCGAAGTCCTGTTTCATTCATCTTCTCCAACTGACTGCAAATGAAGGTGTAGGAAAAAGCAAAAATAATTAGACATTTAGCAAAAAACAAGCTTTTCATCTGTTGCATCTTATGCTTCTGCTTTACAAGAGTATCTATTTATTCTTGCTTTCCTTATGGTGTCTTTTGATTTGGAAATGCAGGGAGTGAGTGATTTAGAAATCTTGTTATACTTTGTGCTGCCCTTTATGTATAATGACAATAAACAATCTTAAATCTTGAACCATTGTAAAAGATTCCTACTTTCTGACCTACAGTAGTAGCAATTCAAAATTTTCCCACTTTCCTTGATGGACCCTTGGCTGGTCCTTAGCTGGTCCTCAACAATTCCTTTTTAAACGTCAATCTTTGTACTAAATTATTCTTTGATTTGTGGACTTTAAGATCTAAAGAGAAGCTTGATCTCCTGGTCAGAACCTGTAATTCAGTGAAAGGGTGATTCAGAGTAAAAAAAAGCATGCCCGGGAGAAGGCCAGTGGCTGGATTTGGCTAGGAGAAGCAGTGGAGTAGGATGCCATTTGGCTGGTGTTTGACAGGGAAGGGCGGTTTTGAATGGCTGCTACTGAGTAACAATAAAACTGGAGACATAGCTGTTGTACACTGACAATAAGCACACTTAATTAGTATTATATTGAATTGAATTAACTTTCTTTTCTATATATTGGACCTCCTTTTTCCTTAATCATTTGTGGCATAGATCCAACATTAAGAAGAAACACGTCTGCTTTTGCTGCAGATTGTTGACTGCATCTGCTTTTATATCGTGAGACTGTTTCAGCATTTGATATAAGTAAACTCATGATGTTTAGCGAACTATCTTGGAGAGGATTTTTGCCTTAGGACATGTTGCATTAAATATTGAAAGTAACCATTATCCTACATGCACACTGTGATCATACAGGAGCAGATATGGTCAATAACAGCATTCAGGTAGGCTGAGGTGTTAAAATGAAGCTCAGTTGGAACCAAGGGGCTCAAAATGAGAAAATATCCCCCATATCAGTTGAAATGGTAGCCCTGAAACTTTTATGTAAGGCAGATGGATACCTGCTTAAAAAACGGTTTACAATAGATTGTTATCCTACTGTATACCATTTAAATCGTGCAGGTGATATAAAGAATCACTTTTTCAAGCATTCTTTTTCCCAGGTTCTTATTGTCTAATTTTGTTGATCCTCAGTGGATTGGTTCTCTGTTCTTAAATGAGTGGATTTCTACTTGAAGTTGTCTTCTCACTATTAGAGCAACGGTTGCCTTTATATAGTTTCAGAACAGACTTGCCTCACTCCCCTGTGAACCGGGTTGTCAGCAAACAACTTTACCCATGTTGCTGTTGTTCACTGGATACTTTCTCTTTTTCAGACCTTTCTCTGTAGACCTGTGAGATGTTTGAACATGAAAATACGAGTAGTCTGACAAAAACAACCATGATTTGTTTGATCTGTTGTTTTCCTTAATATTTTTAGATGTCTAAATTGATTGAGTTGCTAAATGTGTTAACCAGTAATAGGGCAAGTATTTAAATTAAGCAAGAGAAAGCCTAAAACCTCAGCAGAAAAAAAGTTCTGAATCTGATTTCTGATAAGACAAGATATAAATATTTTTTTCTTTCAAAGAGGGAGATTTCTAATACCTTTATCTGTCCTGATGTCTTTGGCTTAGTTAAAAACACGAAACTCAATTCATAAGAATAAAAATATTTTGTCTATGCCGAACAATAATTGCTTCTAGTTTAGTTTTCATCCTTTTTTTCTGGTTAGTTTTAATGATATCAACATTTAAACAACAGAAACCATCCTCCACATTTATAGACATCAGCGGTACAATAAACATAATTTCTCGTTCAGTCTTGTTTTACACAGTCCAGGTTGGTTTTAGCATTTTAACCATTTCAATGACTATAAGTATAAATTTAAGCGAATACCAACATCCTATGGTCCAGTTCCTGAATTATAACATACTAGCACCAATATGTCTGTTATTTTTCTTTCCCATTTATAAGAGAGGGTGTCATGTCAGGGAGTTATAGAGCACAAATTTGAATTTTTATACACAATCAATCTGAAAAATGTAATGTATAAATATCTAAGTAACATTTATTTTATTTGAAGTGTTAATTGTGGAAGCTGTTTCTTTGGTTAAATTCTTTAGTTACTTATTTCACTGAATTTAAGTCACATTTTAACACGTGAGATTTTGCTATTTCTAGGGTTCTGTAAATATTCTTGCCAAGGCTATAATCTATAAATGTGCATGATGCTATAAAACTTTTTAAAGGCAACATATACAGTTCTTGTAAACACCTAATTGACCTGCTGCCAAGCATATGTTGTTTACTTAGTCAGGTTGTAGTCACCAGGTGAAAGACCGGCCCTCTGCTAAACTGGAGAGAAAAAAAATTTATTGATGCACAAATATAAAGGTTTTAGTGCCCTTTTCATTGACTTTATTAATTTAATTATTTAATTTTATATTAGTATTTTTTTTTTCTTGAAACATCTCTTTTTCATACAAGACTGAATAATAAATTTATAGTAATTATCTATTTCTTCAAACTTTAAGTATTTTCAACTGCTTTTAGTGAAACAAGCTTATCTAACATCTCTCACAATCAAAGTATAAATCAGTCAAACAAAGTTGAACTTGCAAACAAATAGAAACAAGTAACTCACCTTTATTGGCATGATTAGAGCTCCGGTTGTTCTAAGGAAGATCTATAGATTTCCATAGCGTGCTCCATGGCATGACTGCTGCTGAGCTAACTGCACAGTAAGAGTTTATTCCAGGAGACAACATCATTGGCAATTTGCTTAATCTTTGCTCAGAGTTAATCTTCACTGCTGGTGCAAAGCTTGTAAATCCTCTTTGGAAGGGTGCGCCACACCTTATGGAGCTATCAATGCATGTCACAAAACTGGTCCAAAGACCTCTGAATTATATTGATATGTTTTACATTAATATCAAACTGCAATATGTTTTTATAAGAATCATTTGTCGGGAGAGTTTTAATGTTTGCAAGGGAAATCTTTCACCAAATGTTGAAAAATTTTGAACATATTTGTGAAGTTGTTTTTTTTATGTTGTTTTTGTCTATAAAATTTTTTAATAGCCCTGTTGTGCAAGTTTTAAATTAGAGCATAAAATGTGAGCAAGGTTTTCTGAATGCCAGATGGTAAGTTAGTGTCCGCTTGTAAAATACGAGCAGGTTTCTAATCGCATTAGGGACCTCTTTCCATAATTAGGATTAAGATGCTTTCGATTCTAAGGACCCTTAGAGAGGACAGCTTCCTTTATTATGAAAGTTACAAATCATATGATTAGGTTTTTAAAATTGGTAGTTTTTTTTTTTTAATACATTGTTTGATTTTAGAGCTGGACAATAGACAGAGCCAGCCCAAGGTTAAAGAAGTCATTTGCAGTTAAGACCATATATATATATATATATATATATATCTTTATTGCATCTAAATCCGGATTTAAACTTCTTCACAACAGTACCTCGTACCTACCTAATGTGTTCCTTGTTCTTTATGATGCTTTCTGTTCTTTAAACAGACCTCTGAGATGATCACAGAGCAGGTGCATTTATACAGAGACTTGATTACACACAAGTGTATTATATTAATCATCATCAGTCATTTAGGTCAACAATGGATCATTCAGAGATCCTCACTAAACTTCTGGAGAGAGTCTGCGGCAAAGAAAGTAAAGGGCCTGATTCATTTTGCTTTTCATTTTTTAATGAAACATTTTGTCCCACACCATCATTGTGTCCCAATTGTTGAATGTGCACAGCAAGCCTCACAACAAATGTGGCAAAAGTTTCTATCTATCTATCTATCTATCTATCTATCTATCTATCTATCTATCTATCTATCTATCTATCTATCTATCTATCTATCTATCTATCTATCTATCTATCTATCTATCTATCTATCTATCTATCTATCTCCATGCGTCCGTCTGTCTATTTTCAGTTCTTAAAAGATCAGCAGAAATACCGCATATATAATATATGATTGTTGAGGACTACAAGCGTTCATGTTTTTTCTGACCACTGGAAAATTGGAGAGTTGTCACCTTTGAGATTGTATCACTCTGACTTCCCAGTGGCATCCAGGGTAACCAGAAGTTACTTCTCATACACGGTGTGACATTGGGACAATACAGAGTGTTAACATCAGATGGACGTTCTCATAATAGCAAATACAGGCCTTTATAGCCATCACAAAAATACTCTCCTGGAGACATGGTGCTTGTTCTTGAAATACAGTTGAGTTTATAGGGGTAGTAGACACTAATAGATTAGGTTTAACTGTATTACAGAGAGAGGTTTTAGCTGGTCATGAATATCCTTAACTGTGAAGCCTCGTAGGTTGCATAACAGTTACCAAACCCGAACTTAACCAAATCTATTTCTGTAGTAAAAGAGATTAGAGTAAAGCAGGATGACTTCATTGCACAGTTAACTCAACTGAAGGAATTAAAAGCTTTTAGAGAAGCTATCAGATTTCGATTTCCAATAAAAGGATGCAATGTTTTACATAGTTTCAGAGTTTAGTTTGCTTCTGTAAAAAAAAAATAAAATAAAAATCCCAGGTGTATATAAAGCAGTCAATTTGTGCCCTAGGAAAGAATTCCTGCTAAGCGTGACCATGCTGACATTCAGGAATGCCATCAGAGACTCCCATGATCCCCGTCCACTTTCTGACCCCCTTCCCAGAAAAAACCCAACAAGCACAAAAATGTGAAAAATCCTGCAGGAAGCTGAGTGGGGAACAATGGAGGAAGCTTTCAGCGTAAACAGGTAGGTCATGAATGCCCCTCATTCCAGCCATCCACAGCAGAGATAAGGAATGCTGGAAAAGGGAGGGATAAAACGGCTGCACTAACTGATTTCTGTCATGCAGCTGTGTTTCCTCAAGCGCTTTGTTGTTTTACACCATATTATGTGCATACTTTTGTCCAATGCATTTATGTATGTTAACATAAACCTGTCAAAGAACAAGCAGCCAGCAACTATTACAGGGCTATTATCTGCTACATATACAAATGTTGTGTTCTTGTTCATAAATATGCGCAGTTCATATTTTAAATAAACAGCTGTACTACCTATCACCCTATCAAACAGGTGGGATTCGCAAATGAGGTATCTTACAGGCTTCTGCAACTTCTGCAAAAACTCAAAACAAAAGCAGCTGGCAATGTAAAAAAAAAAGTTTTCATGCATGATTAAAGGTACACTATGCAACCGGTGTTGATTTTCCAGCGAGGCTCCCTCCAGAGGGCGAAAGTAAAAGTGCACTGTCGTAAATATGCACAGCTGTTCTCCTGGTTTCTCCGTCAAGCCAGGCGCGGTTGTTTTGAGCTTAGCAGCGAATGACTAACGCTGCGTTCACACTGGATGTAGCTGGCGCGACAGAAGCAGCGAGTTTACATGCAAAGGTCCCGCGGCGCGTTTTGAGCTGCAGGCGCAGCACGTCTGAGCGGCTGCAGCAGCGCGTCGGGTGCGTTTACCGCAGGGAGAGAGACACAGCGCTGATGATCACTGCTCTTAAACAGTTTATTGACGCCTAAATTAACTTAAAATGCAGAAATCTGCCGGCAGAATATGCAGTTTGGATTATTTAGATGAAAAACACCTACCAGCTGCCGCGGTGAACCGCTGCTGATGAAGGGATCCATACTGTCGGCGCATCCCTGGTATGTGGGGGTCTGAGCGGCTCCGACAGAAAAAATATTGAAGGCAGGATAATAATCTGAATGAACTGACTGCACTGATTACGTTTTCAGGTGTATTTTCTCACTTAAAAACATATTAAAACTACTTTATTCCCACTGATCACAGCAAATATAGCTGCAAGGCAGAGAAAGGATAGTGAAGCTCCGCCCAACGCGCCTCAGACACACTTTTGCAGCCAGAGCAGCAAAGCTGCTTCAGCCACGCGTCAGAACTAACTGGTACAAGCAGCAAAAATGAAGCAGCAGATGCGATTTTGCTGCTTTTGCTGCGTGAACGTAGCATAACTGCACAAAGATCGCCACTGTGCTAGCAACGAGAATGCTTTTAACTGGGGGCATGTAGCAGTTCTCGCCGTAAAGCAAGACTGACTCTCACGAGACTTCTGAGCCTGTGGGTGCGGGTCGGTGCTCCTGCAGTTGCAAGTGCAGTATTTCCCCCACAGACCACCAGGGCGGCCGAGAATACCTTTGTTCAACCTGAAATGACTCATTTAGTCATCCATAACGTTATGGAACACATTAATTAACTGAAAAATGTTGCATAGTGTCCCTTTAAGAGTAAAATCACATGCCGCCAAGACAGATATGTGTCTCTGCGTTCCGCTTGTATTGCCACTTCAGCCAAGGCCTATTTTTACTCTCCCGCGACTATAGAGAAAGTAATTGGCGCCACGTTAGATTCAAACCTATGCTGTTAATGGGAAAAAATGTGTGATATGTTTTGGCTCTTGTTCTGGTTCTATATTTGTCTCAGTGTCCTCCGTGCAGCTGCTTCTCCAGATCTGTCTCCCAGTGTTCCCATTGAGCTGTTCTCTTCAGCCTGCATATACTTCTTCAGTTCGAGTGTCTGCCAGCCTCCATCAACTCCTGCTTAAAGCAGCAAAAATACACTTGAAGGCACATTTGAAATGCCGGCAGCGCCTTTTGATGTGTAACCACACTTACCCTCTGTTGTGTCATTTAATATCTAATATGTGGCTCATTTTCTGGCCCTTGTGAAAATGCCTTCCATTGCAGCTGTCATGATTCAGTGGTTTTGTGACCAAAAAGCATTTATAGGATGCAACTCCAACTCAAGTGGATTTACTTTGACATTCTTCAAATACTTCCACTATTCACCAACATGTTGATAAATTCCACTTTTCCTTTTGGGTGTGCTTAAAAAAAGTGAATATTGGCCCAAGTTGAATCAAAACTATGCTTACGTTTCAAAATTCCTAACCAGTTAGATGATGGTAAACCTATTTTTCAGCCTCCTGACTTCCAGTGGAATTCCCAGATTTTGAATGAAACTGTGCCAAACAGGACTCATGAGGTCAAACTGCTGACCGTTCACTCCCCTCCAAAACCCTTTTGCACAGCCCGGAGAGGTCCCCACCCCATCCATTTTCAGCTCTCTGTATCAGCTGTGCCAAGCTTTTAATCTGCCTGGTGACATCCCAGTGTTTCCTGCATAGGACGGTCGGAGAGATAAGCACACTCCTCTGGGCGGTAAATCAGTCCGCACTTCTGCATCGATATCTCCATTATTCAATTAGGCTGTGCTCAAATTCACCACCATTCTCGCTTATTATAATCAGATACTGAAAATCATTTATAAAATGTCTTTCTTTTGTCTTTCTAATTGTCTCATCCTTATTTGTTTCTTTGTTTTTTCCCTCCTTTGTTTGTTTGCTTCTTTCTTTCTTATTTTGTTTCTTTCTATGTTGGTTTCTTTATTTGTTTTTTCTTTTTTTTTCTTTGTTTCTTTCTCTTTCTTTTGTTCTTTGTTTCTTTTTTTGTTTCTTTCTTTCACAATAATAAACTACACTATTGATTTTATTATGTGAAAGAAAAGAAGATTAAGTTAAATTTACATTAGGTAAGGCATCTAAGGAGCTGTATTAAAAGTTCAAAAAACTGTTGCATGTGTTGCGTTCATGTCTTGTTTGCAGACTAACAGAGAAATGTTGGTAAAGTCTAACTTGTTGCCAGCAGACATGAACACAAATCCAAATTTATTTTTTTTTTTTCCCAATTTTAACATCTTATAAGCT